TTCCCTTCAGATGTTGACGTCTTCATGATCCGGTCGATCACCAGGAGAAAGAGAAAGGTTGGGAGTAAGCAACCTTGCCTGACACCGGTCTTTACCTCGAACGAGCTTGTCAACTGTCCTCCATGCACGATTTTGCAGTTTAATCCATCATAGGAATTCTGTATGATATTGACTATTTTCTGAGGTACGTCATAGTGTCGAAGAAGCTTCCATAGTGTTGTTCTGTTTACGCTATCAAATGCTTTTTCGTAGTCAATTAAGTTGATGTAGAGTGATGAATTCCATTCAATTGATTGTTCCACAATGATCCATAGAGTTGCGATTTGGTCTGTACGCAATCTGTACACGATCTATCCTTACGGAATCCTGCCTGTTGGTCTTGAGGTTGGGCGTCTACGGAGTCCTTCCTGTTTAACAATACCCTGTTGAAGACTTTTCCCGGTATTGAGAGAAGAGTGATGCCCCTGTAGTTATCACAGTTGCTGAGATCGCCTTTCTTCGGTATTTTGATCAGAAGTCCTTCTTTCCAGTCTGTTGGTACTTGATCGTCATCCCAAATGTGGAGTATCCTTGCAGGTACTGCTACATCTGCTTTCAGTGCCTCTGCTGGAATGTTGTCTGGTCCTGCTGCTTTGGCACTCTTGATTTGTTTGATGGCCATACTGACTTCAATTGTTGGTGGGCCAACATCCATTGTGTGGTCCGTGGGTGCTACTTCGATTTTGGGTGGGTTCAGTGGAGCTGGTCGATTTAAGAGTTTTTTGAATTATTCTACCTACCTGTTTTGTTGCTCTTCATTGTTGGTGATTACCTTGCCTTCCTTGCTTTTTACTGGTCGTTCTGGTGTACGGTGATTTCCAGAGAGTTTCTTTGTTGTGTCATACAGTTGTCTCATGTTTCCTTCTCTTGCAGCCTTTTCCGCCGCCGTTGCTAAATCTTCCACATATTTACGTTTGTCGGTTCTGATGTTCCTCTTCACTTGTTTGTTTACTTCTGTGTATTCAGCTTGTGCCTTGGCTTTTTCTGCTCTTGTTCGACTGGTATTGATTGCTGCCTTCTTGTCCCTCCTTTCTTGAATCTTATCGAGTGTATCAACAGTGATCTATTCCTTGTGATGGTGCTTCTTGTGGCTCAGGACCTCATGACATGTTGAAGTGTTTGCTTCTTTTATCCCCTTCCAGTTGCTCTCCATAGTAGTTCCTTCTCCATTGAGTAGATCATGAAAGGCCTGGAACTTATTGCTGATGACTCTCTTGAATTTGTTGAGTTTGTCTGTATCCTGAAGAAAGGCCGTATTGAACTTTTGTGATGTTGTCCGCCCCGTTGTGCAGTGCTTCTTGAGTTTCAATTTCATCTTGGCGATCAGCAAGTGATGGTCTGATGCTATATCAGGTCCTTTCTTGGTTCTCACGTCCTCCATCGTCCTCCTGAACTTTTTGTTGATGCAAATATGGTCGATTTGGTTTCGCGTGGTGTGATCCGGTGAAGTCCATGTGTTTTTGTGTATGCGTTTATGTGGGAATATGGTGCCGCCTATGACCAGCTTTTTGAAGGCACATAGATTTGCAAATCTCTCACCATTTTCGTTCCTTTCTCCTAGTCCGTGTCGTCCCATGATGTCTTCATATCCGGTGTTGTCTATTCCGACTTTGGCGTTTAGATCTCCCGTCAGAATAGTCAGGTCCTTTGTTGGGCACTTCTCGACGATTGACTGCAGCCTATTGTAGAATTGATCTTTGGCGTCTTCATTGTAGTCGTTGGTAGGCGCCTAGCATTGGATGACGTTCATTGAAATGCCCTCTTTCTTTGTTTCGAAGGAGGCTTTGATGATCCCATCCTATAAGTGCATTTTGTGCTTGTTTGGACAGCATCAATGCAACTCCTTGTGTATGTGGGCCATTTTCTTCTTCACGGCCGGAGTATAACAGAAGGTCCCCTGAAGCTATTCGTTGTTGTCCAGCTTGCATCCAATGTGTTTCACTGATCCCAAATACCTCTAGGTTGTATCTTCTCATTTCTGCAGCAATTTGGAAGGCTCTCCCGGTGTCCCACATTGTACGAACATTCCATGTACCTAAATAAATGGTCGCTCTGGTTGTCAGAAGGGGCATCGGCCTCGTAACTTCCGAAGGAATTCGGCTTTCATCATGAGGCGTCATAGTTCTTCTTAATGAAGACCTTCTGACTCCCAGGACAGAGTTTAAAAGGTTTAAATAATTTTTTCTGGTTAGCGTTTTTTAGCGACTTAGTTTTCTACGGGATGTGGTCGCTAACCCCATGCCCAACCCTCCTCCTTTACCCGGGCTTGAGACTGGCAGTAGCCCCCGGAGGGGCTACAGTCGGTGTTTTTACAAGTTTTAATGCATCGTTATAATCTTGTTACAGCTAAGATATGTATACCAATATATTGATACCTAGAATCTATAAAAGCCATAAATTGTTGACAGTTGTCGTGAAATTCCATTGGTTTACTGTTCTAATATCGATGGTTATTAGTGTGTTAGAAATATTTTATACATAGTTTTCTTCTAAAAGTACTTCTTCAAAAAAGAAAGAAAACTATCAGTAATCTACAATAATGAATAACAATAGTAATAATAATAATGTTAAATTATCTTTAATTAGAAATAGTGTTTTTTGTGTTTGATACTAATTTACATTTTTTACTTATGACAGTGTTTTTTTCCTAATTTTTCCTAATGATTATTTATGGTTAACAATGATACATTTGGCCATATTTTTATAACATTATGATAGAAATTATAAAAACACTATGAAATAATATCCTAGGTTGCTTAGTGGTTGGAATATCCATTTTTTAACTAGTAAGTCCTAAGTTTCAAACTCCACTTTACTCAGTTTATTTTAAGATGCATAGTATCTGTAGGGACGGCCCCTGGTGAACTCAAAAGAGCTCTTAGAAGCTCAGAAAGAGCCGTAGACATACCATTTAATCATCTTCTGAAGAACATTCCAGAATCTCGCTGTGTAGCTTCCCGACTGGATAAATGTTAAAAGTTACTGCATATGGAGTGGATGATTGTAATGATGATTTCGTTTTTACTAAAAACTACAAATATCTGAGTATTTTGTACCATATTTGACACTGTTAGGAATAAGATTCTTTCTCATTCATCTTCTAACTTGCAACCTGGAGGGTCCTCGTGTTCGAGTGCTCTAGTTGTGCGTGGTCTAGTAAGAATACAAGTTCTAAATATAACAGTATGTATAATTTTTTGTTTTACAAAAATATGATTCAAAACTGTGTACAACGAATTTCAAGAGTTATATTGTTTTTATTATTAACAGTTTGGACACACTAAACTTCGAAGTCCTTTTTCTCCCACCGCTTTTTAAAATAAATCTTGATTCATTTTGGCCCCGTAAATGATATCAGAGTTTACGATGTTAGTTGAAATATGAGTTTGTGAATCTCCATTAACTGAGGCGGTTAAGATATGGGTTACACATAGTTCATTATCGCCTACCTCAAATGTTCAATTTAGCTCGTGTAAGTGTGCGGTATGAAAAAGGTAGAGTCGGTCAAACTAAAACCTGCCTTCAATCTACAAAGCCATGGACCGTTGGTCTGAGCCATGTTGAGTGATACAGACTATCTGGTTGACGTTCATACGATAGTCATGGTCAGAAATGAGAGAAGTCGCATAACATGGGTCAAAATTGTTTACAATGTATGATTTGCATTCACTCTATATTTCTCTCTAGATCTTAAATTCAAGTATTCCCCCATACATAATTTCCTACTCTGTTCTTTCAAATTTAAGACCATGTTCTCAGGATTTAATCTATCTTTTCATAATTGCTACTACATTAGTTCGACTCCTTTACTATTTATGGTAGTTTCATCCCACCGTGCTGATACTGTGGTATGGCAACTCCAACCAATGCATATTTGTAACTTAATGGTTAGGGTGTTCAGCTTTCCGACACCATGTTCACGGTTTGAATCCCTCTGCACCTACGTTGGTTTAAACAACCGGGTAGCATAGTTTACCCTTACACTTAAAGTGTGAGGCTCATGCTTAAGTACGTTGTAATATATATATATTTCTATCATACTTGCATTTGTACCAGACTCTACCTCGGATAATAATGGATAAATAAACTGGAAGTTTCAATATACTTTAGCAACAAAGTCAATATATTGGGTTAACTGTCTTGAAAAGTTTTACTTAATATGAGTTAACTCTCCCAGACATATATGAAAGGTTACTTATAAAAACTGGGACTAAAAAGTTTCGACTTTTAAGACTTCACCCTAAATTACTTTTCAGATGAATATTTAATCACTAAGTATTTGAGTCGATATTTCCTATACCTACTTCGGTTCGGGCACCCGGGCAGTATCTTAGCCCTCACTTAAACCGAATGATTTATGTGGCGCATATGTATTTGGTGCCTTCATGTACCAATGTTTGTGTTTAAATAAAAATAAATAATAACGATATTTCCTACTGATCAAAACCACTCTTTGAATGGATATTCGTTTAATTGTCTTTTACATTGTCGTATCTTAATTAAATTAGAAAATAGCCTCAATTGATCTTGTGTTTATTAGCGTTAGAAAATACTGACTTTGTATCTTAAGACTGGTAACTTATAAATAGCACACCGCAGGTTTTAAAATTAGTGAACATTAAGAAGTTGTCGAATAATCAGGAATACTGTTCATTTTTGCTGGATTGTAACGGATTCTTTGTCCAATGTCAATCCCTTAAGAAAATACTAATCTATCTACATAACCGCATCAAAAGGCAAATGTTCATCGGAGTTAGGATCTATACAGCAATGTGACGACGTGAATTCGAACCCCACTGGAAGCATCATTAATGTCCTCAAAATTCTAAGTACGTCTTACTATCAAGCGCTAATTAACGCCTAACGTTAGTTTAAGGTATCCTACCGGTTACTTCCAGCTAACTAGCATTCAAATTTATCTTACGTAGTTCGATTCAGTTTCTTTATGCACATTGTTTTAGGGACTAGTGCCTAACTGTGATGAAGTAAATCCATTTGGTGGTCCTATGCCCAAAGAATTATATGTGACCGATCCTCTGGAAGTTCAAAAATTAAAGGCACAATGTTTAAGTCTACCTCATTTAGAAATTACAGAATTGGATCTTCAGTGGATACAAACACTAGCTGAAGGTTGGGCTACACCATTAAATGGTTTTATGCGTGAAAATGAATATTTGCAAGTTCTCTATTTTGGTCAATTACAAGTATCAGACTGTAAGTTTATTTTATTGGTTATTTAATTTTGTTTATGATAATCTAATAGTTGAAAAGTTACAGAACTGTACTCATTTCGTAAACTCTAATACTACTATCTTCGATTTCTTTCTAACTAAAATGTTATTGTTTTGGAATTTCTAGCACTTTAAAAATTGTTGATCTCGATTACATAATCTTTGTGATGCGTTTCTGTTAACATTAAAGAGAAATTTTTTTTCAAGACAATGTAACAGTATCGTAATCTACACTGTATCATTAATCATTAACTCATATTTATGGTAAAGTATAAACCAGAGATTTCTAATCCTAAAAATGTTTGTATTTTGACTATTTTTCCCGTCTTGACCACTTTAAAGAAATGAAGACTATAAAAGCATTATACAAGGCGTTCTTAACATTCTCAAACTTCAAACAGAATCACACTATTGTATATGAAAGTGGATTTTGGGAAATCACGTAATAGTTAGGTACAAATAATTACTCAAATGTTCCTAGCTAAGGCTAAAAAACGTCACTGTATTATTTCATGGTGTTCATCATGGTTTTGTTCTCATCAATTACAGCTTCATGTAACTGGCTTTGAACTAGACCTTATTTATTAGGGCTAGTAGTATTATTCGGCTCCCCAAGCCCAAGCAAGTGGAATGAGACTCGAATTAACAAGTCGAAACTCTCTAAATATTAGGCTATCTCTCCACCGACATTATAAGCAAAGATGAATGGTAATAAGCATTGGAATCCAAGACACGCGTTTCGTCCTATTTGGGACTCGCCAGCTGGATGTATTTGCATCCCAGAGTTGGTGTTAATTTCGCGACTCGAACCCAGTATCGTTCATTTCAATCAGGGTCCAGTAGCTAAGTGGATAACGGAATGGCGTTTGAAGCGAACGGTACTGGATCCGGTTCCCGGATTGAACATCAACTCTGCAATCCATGTACATCCAGCTGACAAGTCCCAGATGGGACGAAATGCATGTCCTGGATTCCAGTGCTAATCACCATCCATCTTTGCTTATAAAGCTTGTGACTTAAGACAATATCGAGGCAATCCGCAAAGGATGTACATATGCCAACAAGAGACTAATCAATTGCAGTCCTAAACATCAATAGAAAGGTCCAAACAAACAATATAAAATGATTTATCTCTCTACCGGTTATCACTCGTTTTGGGGGTGGATTGGTCATCGTTATTATGATTCTATTATCATTCCAAAATGATTATGCTAAGTATTCAGTCAATTAACGAAACATAGAACCTGGGACCTAGGTATATGGATTTAAGTTCTCATACCATATCAGCACGACACTAAATTACGAAGATAAATGCTAGAGTAGTAGTGGCAAGATCAGTAATAGTGGGACAGATTAAACACATAGTATAGTTTAAGGAGAAAGAATAAATTCACGGAATAGGAAAGTTTAAGATAAATAAAAAAGACCATAGTTTAAGGAAGGACAAAATGTTTAGCAGGCAATAATTTCATCGACTAATGGAACCACATCTTGGTTTGTCAGACCATAGCCTTCTGACCTATTCCTACACCAGCCAACAGTTTTCATCTAGGTAGGTGGTAGTTGAGCCATATGTAATACATGTCCCAACCATATCAATCCATGAGCCTCTAAATGCCCTGGTATGGCCGAGAGTGGGGGGAGTCAGCTCTCCCTCACGAAATGCTCTAACATGGCCACACGTATACAGCCACTCCTAGAGAAGCGCTACTCACTGCCTTCTCGTGGCTGGGGTGTTGTTTACGAAATTGAGAGGACGAAAAGCAAATGTCTGGCACATTAACTGGGTTGGTGGATATGGAGTATTCACATAGGGAAGTTGGGAAACCCTGATTCCAAACCACTGATGCACATGGGCTCCTGAATTCTGAACGAACAAACAACATATGAACCGATCGTTGATCACCGGCTACCACGAGACTGTATCTCCTGACGTTTCTCCACTCCCTTGTGGATCAGACCTTTAGGTCGAAGGCTCCGGGTGTGGCTTTCTAAGAAAACCACCTGTTTCGGTTTGGGCAGCCGGACAGTATCCCACCCCTCACACCAATCGGATGATTTATATGGCGTATAAACATTTGGTGCCTCCATGTACCAATGTTTATGTGTTTAGATAAATAAATAAATCCATGAAGATTTGTAGTGTCTGGTAGTATTGTGGTGCGTGCTACTTATATTGACATAAGTAGTTTATAACGCATATCAGGAGTGTAATGTCTGGCAGCAGAAGATTGGGAATATCAAGAAAGTAAGGACGGGAATAGAAAGCAATCCGCATAGAAATGCAAGAGCAATGAAGTTCGAGACAATTATTGAACATTTTGCAAATTAGGTATTGTAGTATGGTTTTTCTGTTTCACCAAGTAACTATAATGTTGTGCTGAATATAATTCGGTTGTCCTCACCTGTGTTCACCTTCACTACACTATATCAACCCCACATAGGCTATTCTAGACAGACCAGTTTATCCATTCTTCTCAAGCCACAATTTGAACTTGTTACTTATTCGCTTATTAACCTTGACTGTTCTTATATGATCTTACGTTGTGTTTGTTACTCCCCCTATTCATTACGTGTCTGTAATTTACTTTTTGTCTGACTATGTATATTGAGTCACACTTAATCAAAACGAGTTGGCTCACTCGCTTTCTTTGCTTCGTTTCACCTTCCTCCCTTTTCTTTCTCCACTTCGTTTGTGTGATTGTCCATCCGGGTCAATGAGTGTATGAAATACGTGTATTCAAAATTAATTCTCATATTTGGCTTATTTTATTCCGTTATTCTCTAACGTGAATTAAATTGATAGTTATATACGAGGGTTAGCGACATGTATATTTTGATAGCAATCAGCGTACGATCTAACTGGATTCAGATAAAGGGCCACTAAAGGTTCAATAACCTAAATGTGAATATATATAATTCTTTTTTGACAATACTTTAAACTGAACTATGTATTATAATATTCCTTATTTCATATTATGCTTCTGTGTGTGATTGCAGGTCCAGTGATTACAAATTTCTCGATTCCAATTGTATTAGCTATATCAAATGAGGATAAAGAAAGATTTCATGGGAATGGTTCATCGATAGCTTTCGTATATAAAAGTAATATAATTGGAATGTTACAAAATTGTGAATTTTTCCCTCACCGTAAAGTAGGTGAAAATTGTTTATCGTTGTTGTATTCATGTTCTTACGCAACAACATAGCTTACAGTTGTTTTCTTATCAATATCAGGGGTTTGTAGAGATCATTAAATTTTGTAGTTAATATTGAGAATCGATTTTGGTTGGACAATCACTGAAAATCAGAAAGCTCTGGATAGCTGTTTCGTCTCAGTTTGAGGCTCCTTCATCTCAATGTACATCCATTACCTTACCAGCGGTCTTGTAGCGAGAGATTAACCTTTAGACTATCTAGCTGGTATTCAGTAGTTTACATGTATTTTGTTCTTATTCATAAAGATCATCCTATCTAGTTGATAAAAATCAGCACGCTTATGATTTGTCTTACATTATTTTGAAAATTATTACTGACACTCAATGACTGAAATATAGAAAAAGACTGAACTGTTAATATGATTATTGAGATCAATATTTTGTGTTGAGTTTGTTAGTTTTAGTTGTCTGACACTTAGTCATGGAACATTCAGTAACTCATGCAGCTACTCTCTTTATGACTAGTTAACCTTTTGAATTCATTTTGACTGAAAGTTTCTATTCTTCAAGTAAACAATTTCCTACATTTTGACAAGTAATTTTTTTCCTGTCAAAATTATTTAACTATTGATTTGAGAGTAATTTATGACAATTTAGAAACGTTTAATTCATTCTAGACGGGTTTAACTGTGGTTAAGCCTGTTCGAAATCAGTATTACCATGCGAGTTAGACTATCATATAACCTTTAGACTATTGTTAGACGTTTAAAGGTAGTCGGAATGAAAATTCTAAACTTAGGTTTCATAATAGTTGATACTCGTCTGTAAAGTATATCTGCAATCATACAGGCGAACACTGGTGCTTTCTTGATAAGGATACCGGTTTATCTTTAGTTCGTGACGGTGATCTATACTACATGTTATAGTTGGTAGATGCTTACTGTAAATTGTTGATAACTTGGGTCATTCTTTTATTTTTAATTATAACTAATTTCTTTCTATTTCATAATTGTGAAATATATAGGAAGAACGATGTTGTCACATATTTGGAACGAATCATATAAATCATCCAAGTATAGAAATGATTATGTCATCTGGTGATTGGTTAGTTGGCGGTGATTTAAAAGTATTCGAAAGAATCAAATGGAATGATGGTTTAGATCGGTATCGTTTAATGCCAAAAGAATTACATAGTGAATTAATAAAAATGAAGGTAAACATTAATGATGCATTTTTAAAAAAATGTTGCCTACCTACTTTTCGTTTAAGCACATGACACGCTCTAATGTAACTTGCATGGTGGACGAATTGGTTTTGTAGCTTTCGGAAGCTGTAATATTGAATAGTGAATAACTTTGGGTAATTTAGTTAAACGCAAGAGAGTATAAAATTTCTTAAACATGTAAGTTGCTAGCGTTTCGTGAAGTGACCAAGTGAGCGTAGGGTGGTTTGTCTAAGATGATACTGTCCTAAGTTGATTATGATGGACAAAATAATCTAATCCAGTCGTTTGGGGTACAGTTCCTAAAGTTACTGTCTCAGTCGTCAAGTGTTTAGTCTATTCTTTGAAATTCATATGCTCAAGTTACTTACCTGTCTTTTTTCCCATGTTACAAACATGCACATCCTAACGTTGCTCCACTGCCTTGAGGATTAGACATCTAGGCCAAAGACTCAGGGAGTGGTCCCCTAAGAAAACCACCTGCTTCCGTTCGGGCACCCGGGCAGTATTCCTCCCCTCTCAGAAATCGAATGATGAAGTATGGCCCATATATATTTGGTCCCTCCTTGTACTAATGTTTATGTGTTTAAATAAATAAATCTTGTATAAACATAAGTTTTTAAAAGCTATAATTATTGTGTATGAAAGCCAGTAGTGCTCAATAGCGATGTTCGTATTTAAATGTGAAATTCAATTTAAGGATGGCTCAGTGTTATTTCCCGTATAAGGACGATAGAATGCGATCATAATCAGGAATGAAATGTTTCCTAGATGATTTGTTAATTACGTTTGTCTTTTCTAGTCTTTTATTATTTATTTAATTTTAAATTAATTAGGCTGACTGTGTCTTTGCCTTTCAACTGAGAAATCCTATACATAACGGTCATGCATTATTAATGACTGAAACTAGACAACAATTATTAGAAAAACATGGATATCATAATCCTGTGTTATTACTTCATCCACTTGGAGGTTGGACAAAGTCAGATGATGTTCCACTTAATGTACGTATAGCTCAACATGAAGCTTGTTTAGATGAAGGTGTTCTTGATCGTGATACAACTTTATTGGCAATATTTCCTTCACCAATGTTATACGCCGGACCACGTGAAGTTCAATGGCATGCTCGTACACGAATGTTAGCCGGTGCTCAGTATTATATAGTTGGACGAGATCCAGCGGGTTTACCTCATCCTAATGGAACAGGTGTTGATTTATATGATCCATCTCATGGTGCTAAGGTATGTTGTATATGTATTGTTTCACATTATCAACAGTTTCTATTGTATCATAAAATTCCTCATTAACTTTAATTAAGTGTTGTCATTTATATCACATATCGACAAATAGTGAAAATCAGGGAACAATGAATAGTCGTTTCGTTCCAGCATGGGACTCCTCAATAGTGTGTATCAACAAACCCATCTGGGACCGAAATCATGAACTTAAGTTTTCACGGCAAGAGTTTAACCTTCAGATTTGCAAACTAGCATTCAATGGTTTGCGTGTTTAACTTTGGTCAGTTTACGATATTGCGAAAAACCAACTGTACAGTACTTCTTGATTTTCCATGGTTGTTTAACTGTGGTTGGTTAATGACCTCACTAACGTTAAACAATTTTCAAAAATTCGTGGAAGCAACAAGAGACTGCGGTAATTGCACATAGACTTTGTTAAATGTGAGTCAGTGGCATAATAAATTGTTCAGTTTTCTTTTCAAAATAATGCTGAAGATTGTGAATAAATCTTTTCCTCCATTGGCATAAATACTACGATCGTTTAACTTAGTTTCATCTCAGTTATTGGTTTGCGTCATTTTAAACAGTCAACTTTCAGAACGAAACTTCTTTTACCTGGGTTTGTTCAGTAGTGAATGAATTTATGAACTGATTTCATTCTTCTGATCTGATTAACTCTAGTAATCTATTCATCTAGTCTATGTTTCATCCATTGTTGCTACATATCAGTGATAATATTGCTGATGAAATATTTCTGTATGATGAAAACTCTAACAAGATGCAGAATTTTTTGATCGTCTTGAGCAACTATATAAATATGTTTGGGATGGAACCCGCCTCCTCTATGTTCTAACTGGTCTGCGTCAACACCTTAACTAATGATGGGAAGTGAAGTGGTTGAGCTTATCGTTCACTTCACTTATCTCGAATGTCTGATCAACTCTGATGTGTCGGTGTCTGATGAAATATCTGTGAAGGTTCGGAAAACTCGGTTGACTTTAGATAGCTTGCCTTACTTGTGAATGGGATGTCCTTCCAATGAACTAGACCCCTATGAAAACTATTTACATCTCTTTGATCGCCCGAACAGTATCCCACTCCATCCGCCAACATAGTAATCTATTATGTGGCGCATACAACTTTGGCATCGAGTTGTACCGGATTTTATATGTAATAAGCAAACAAAAATCCTAGTACTTAGTATCATAAATCTATTGAGTCCCTCGGAGAATTACATATATAGTATTGGTATTTTATTCACAGTTTGAGTAAATTTTCAATTATCAATGATACAATAATAGAATTGTGTTTATCTTATTTTATTGTCAAAAAATATGTGGATAGGTATTATCTATGGCTCCTGGTTTATCCAACTTGAAAATTATTCCATTTCGTGTTGCTGCCTATGACAAGACAATCAACAAAATGTCATTTTTCGATTCAGAACGTTCATCAGATTTTCTATTTATTTCTGGTACTAAAATGCGTACATTAGCTCGTGAAGGTATGGAACCACCTAATGGATTTATGGCCGAGAAAGCATGGAAGGTTTTGTCAAATTATTATTGTCAATTAAATAAATCCGTTTAATTGAATAAATGAAAACAAAACAAAATCTGAATGAGATTTAAGAGATTGTATGTTTGTTTTTCTTTAAATGAAGAAGCTATTTATTTATCAGTACAAGTGCATATTGTTTCACCATTTCCAATGTTTCTTACTCATTTTCTATTTATTCACATACCTATATATTTTTTTGTGTGTGTATGTGTACCTGGCTGAAATCTACGTTTATTCTTTAGAGAACCTGTGCTCTGTGTTTGTTTTAATAGTTTTTTTTGCTCTTCAAAACAAAAACGTCTTTTATAAGATCGTTTGTCGAAATTTGATCAAATAATTTCACAGTATTTTGGCGCCTTGTTGATGTGAGACGTCAAGAATGAAGACTGTATTTTATTTTGGCTTCTTATTTGCTGGTTGATTTGTTTTGTCATCTCACGTTGTTGTTGTCTTTGCTTGTCAACATAATTTCTTTGAATTGGCTTGCTTTTAATTTCATACTTAGGCGTTTTTTACTCTTCCCCTTTCATGAGAAGTAAATATTTCTTTCCATTTTTTCTCTTGTATTATTATCTCTTATATATCTATGTGATTAACTGCTTCTCAGTTTTGGGTTAATCACAATTATCGTCTCATCACTACATCAATCTAACTGATTAACGAACTAAGTTAATTTGGCTGTTATTTTTAAAATTTATTTCCTCACTTTTCTTCAATTCGTCTACAGTTGTTGATATTGCCGTTTTTTCTTCACAATCTCAATACTTCTATTTTGAATTCCAGTATCTCTTTATACTTTCATAGATACATACCTTCTTACTCTATCATATCAGACCACCTTCTCATCGTTACTACAGTTATTTCATCTTATCACACTAAGCTGGTAACGACTAATCCATATCTGTCCGAGGATCTATGTTGAAGATGTTTTATCTACTGAATAATCAATCATGTGCCTAGACAAAAAAACACAAAACAAGTGTTATTGTGATAATAGAAATATCTTTTTCTGTTTTTATGTGACTTTTATGATTATTTGTTTTGGTCACAATCGGTTTTCTGGTTTGTTTGTTTTTTTTTATTTGGACTATTCTGTGATTTTCTTTCTACTGGTTATTTTCTAAAAGATTGATTTGTTGAATACTTATTTTTATGTCTGTATTATTACGTGCCTATAGTAATACATGTTTTTTTGTATGGGAAAGTCGAAGTCCTCTGTTTTATATCAGAATGTACGAAAATTCCTTCTGTTTTATTTCATTCGTCTAGCTCTATAAAATATAGATGATTTTGTGTTGACTTGTTTTTGATTAACTTGTGTTTCTCTACAACTGACGTATATTTGACACACACCTCCGTTTTGATATAGATCGGTAACTTAGACGCAATATCTGTCTATTTATCTATTATATGAGACTAAGTATACCGTTCAACATTTTGCCCTGTATTGCTGTAAGATCATGAAACCTAGTTAATTATAGTAGGAGACATTTGTAAGTATATTGAAAAGTATTCACAATTACATGTATCTTCAGAGACCAACAGGAATGTAGTGAAACAATGACAATGCGTTGTAGGTAATCATTGAATAGGTTGATTATTACGACCCTTAATCTAAATTAACTGAGGTGGTTGATACATAGTTTTACGCATGACTAAATGCTGTTTACTTCAATGTGCAGTGATGGCTAGCACATGAGCAGGTGGAAATGCTAAGATCAGTTAAGTTATTAAGTAGTTTAAAGAGAGCAAAAACGAAGACTGGTGTAGAATAATATGAACTCATTTTATTTCGTTTGATTCTTATCAACTGCTTACAACCTATATTTTAAAATAAACGTTTTTACCGATATTGACATACTTATACATTCGAGGGTGAATAAAGATGAATATGTATATCATGATGTAGCGAAGATTTCAATAGAGTTAATGAGGTCATAAAAAAAATTGTTTCAGATAAATAACGTTTGGGAGGGAAAGTTCTAGAACATTAAAATCGTGATTAGGACTCATGGAGTTAACAAGCAATAAATGATTGTATAATGAAGCAACTGAAAATAGATTAATGGTAATAAAGAAGGATATGAATTGAAGAAAAATGACAATGATATAATGCAAGCTTCAGAAAGAGTTGAAATAATGAGTGACGTAATAAATAAGTGGCTTTTATGTTACCAGAGCAAAGAAAGATTTATTACTGCCTCTTTTTGGGTACATAGATCTGGATTTAGGCGTTTGATTGGTATCGCTTCGGCAAATTTCAAAAGGTTGGAGTTTTTTTGCTAATCACCTTGAAGGACTTCAATGCATCAACTTCATGTCCTGTGTCAAGGAGATCTCTTACGATGACACTGCTAAATGCTTTTCGGAATACGTTCTTTGAATCAGACATAGGCTCTCCTTTCTGTTCTACTGATGTGATTGCTTTGGCAGATACATGTAATTAGCTGTTAGTGTGAGTTACGTTCAAAGGGATGAAAATTTTTGCTAGGTTCATTATGTATTAATCGTGATCAACAGTTGTAAAAGTTAAGTGACATAGCTTAAAACTAGACGCAGTTATATTTTAATAAACGGAATACACCCATTAAGATATTAAATAAGAAAGATTAGTTCAGCGAAGAGTTCTCTTTTCGGCGAATTCATTTTCAAAGCTGTACAGTCGCAAATATATGTACTTATTCTTACAGAATGATAATGTTGATAATAAATTTGTTATACATGGTGACAGTGAGGTTAAATAAACAAAGGTATTAAAAAATAAAAGAAATTTTAAAACAAGGAAAGTTTAATAATCGTTTGATTGTTATTGACTTAAGTATTCATCAAAAGATAGATAGGGAAATTATCATTGGGAAAGGATGGCTCAGCATGATAAAATAAAATGTTGAAACAGAGATGAAATGTAATCGGAATGATCGTGGAAATAAAAACAAACCAGTTGGGGGTAGAAGATTTAGAGAGAAGATGGAAGGTGAAGCAGATGGTTGTAGAGGAACAAGAGTATGAAAAAGAGAGAAAAATTTTAATACATTACGACCATGGTAGAAGAAGAGGTTGTAACAGTTTCTTTTGCACACACAATTCTGTTTTTTTTTCAGATGTATGGCTATCGCTTCAGCAATACAGAGAAGATTCAGTCTAATTGTCTTAGGAAGACTTCTACTTACCTTGTTGATGACTTTGAACGCAGTCTGTCTTGATTGAAGGACCTGTGTTCACAAGGTGTCCGATTATAGAACTTCTTATTGAACCGTTGCCTCCTCTTTTTAGCCACGCCGGATAATGTTCTTGAATTCTTTTGGATAAAAAGTACGCTATATTTATTGTCTAATTTCGTTGTACTTTTTTGTATCTCGATTTCACATGTTCTTCGCGAATTAAATTCTATTTGGCTTTTACAATGATTAATACTACTGTTATTATTTCTGTTTTCTTTTATATGTGATGAGTAAGATGAATGTACACACAAAAGCTTACATAAAAACAGTAAAGGTTAATAAGCGAGTAAGTGGCAAGATCAAAATATGACTTGACAAAAATGAGTAATATAGTCTGTTTAGAAGCTAGAATAACCTATGAAATGGTACCAGTCCCTGAACATGTCTTGATTTTACCACCCCTACAAAATCCGGCTAACAAATAGAATGTACAGAATATAAATAACTACCATTTGGTATATAATTTGTATTTCATGTTATAATGAATAAGATTGATGAAGTGTGTATGTACAGAATGGCAGGTTATAACATGAAATATGATTATCAACATATCACAATGTCAGTTGAATTGTGTTTAATATGTTATCATGACATAGCGACTAATGGCTTAATCAAATAGAGTGCTAAGCTACTATGATATCGAATGATTTTTTTTAATCCTGTGACATGTATTCACACCTTAATTGTATAATACTGTAAATTTGTATTCACATAGTAAGTTATTGAATTATTCAACTCAGTTCAATCTATACAAATCTGGCTGTTAATCTAACTAAATGTAAATCCTATAAAACGTGGTGTATTCCTAAATCATTTTCATTTATTTTAAGACTCAAATACATCCTTGTCACCAGTTTTTACACTTTTTCTCTTGTGTTCTAGTTACCGTGCAGATTAGAAACAGCTAAGAAATCGAATAGTAAGACTTATTAAATTCAAAGATAGAATTTTATCTGTATTGATTAGTTCTATATTTAATTTATTCACAATCAACATATATGATACTAATCTAAAACACCTAATTGTAAGCTTTAATAAGGTCATTGCATTTTTCTTCATTCACATAATCTACGCATTTTGAAACTGATTATTTTAACTACTATCAGTTCATCAATAAGAGTGTTTTTACATGAATAATAAACAAGTATTCTATTTTTAAATTTGTTTAAAAGTCTCCAACGTACTCCAAAATGAGCTGTAGAGTTTATCTGAATGGTCTCAAACCTGGCAGTTGCCGATAAATACTTCCAAGTGTGTTGTGATGCATCTCGGTCATCAAGGTACAGATACATACACAATGAATAACACTGAGCTACCTGTCGTTCAAACACATAATGACTTATGAGTTATCGTTAGCCAAGACTTAAAGACTACTGCGCACTGCTGTGCAATAGTCGCTAAAGGTTCTAGAACCTTATGGTCAATAACATAGGGCTTTTAGTCATGTCGACGCTAAAACGTTTTTGACTTTGTATACAGTGTTCGTACATCCTAAACTTGAGTACTGCATTCATTTTGAAACTGATTATTTTAACTACTATCAGTTCATCAATAAGTGTGTTTTTACATGAATTAAAATGCTAATAATCGAGTATTCTATTCTTAAATTTGTTTAAAAATCTGTGGTGTTTGAATGGACTAATGATACTTTTGTACTTGTTGAATGCTCGATTTCGAATTCCAAATACAATACATTCGTTTGTGCTTGTGTTTCACTTCTTAATTCAATTGCGTTATTTCTGGGACTCTTAGTTCGTGCTATAATTCAAATAATTCAAAACATTATAAAATCTCCAAAAAATAATTAATTAAATTTGCGTACATTTTAAAATGAGCTGATAATGATTAAAATGATCACAATTTCCGAATAAGTAAATCATATAAATGCAAAAAAACAAATACCATAACCTTATTAGAGCTTAGAATGAGTTGTTTCTAGACAACTATGTTAATCAGAATAAAATTGTACATTTTATGAATGTCAATAAGTGAAATATTCACTAGCCTAATAGAAGAATTATTCTTTTTCTTAATAACTTGTTAAACAAGTTATTGGTTACCAGTATTCAATGGCTAAGTGAATAATGGATTGTTGTTTGAATAGAAAGATTTTTGGTTGAAGTCCCGATATGAACATTAACAGTAGGTTTCAGATAAATCCAACTGACGAGTTCAAAATACAGTGGAAAACACATTTTGTGTTGCGCTGTTAGTCACAGTTTTTCTAGTTGAACCAATCTTATGATAAATTGGATAAGTATAAGTAGTCCGCACGTCAAAATCATATGTTAGCTAAGACTGATTGAAACTCAATCCTGAATGTGAATCACGGTGTAATTCAATGCCCTAATTATAGTTATATAAATCTCTGCATGAAAATTTATAACTATATGTGCACGTTAGAAATGATGAGAGATCCGAAGAAGTGTTAAGTTTACAGTGTAGAATTATGACTATGGTCTAAACAAACGCAGTCTAGGGTCATCATAAACATGAACACTGCTTACTTAAAGTCAGTCATTCTTAAAATATTGAGATTACGGGCAAAGCAAATACAAGAGAGCACTGAAGAACAGTTTCGTCTTAGTTCTAGAAATTGGAATTGAGAACTATGACATACATTATGATGTCAACGAAGCCGAGATATTCATGAATGAATGAATGTGTGAATGAATGAATGAATGAATGAATAAATGAAGCAATAAATTATCCATATCAACATTGGACGATAATCTCTCTTAGACAAAAAGGTGACTGAATTCGAAAATATGTGCGATTGAATCTCAGCTAAGTACTTGACGATTTATGGTTTATGTGTTTGACCGTGTGTGTGTGTGTGTGTGTGTGTAACAATGTTAGTGTACTGTTAGAGAGAGCAGAATTTTCGGAAATTCCATGCCCTCGCATTTTCCTCGCATTATCGTCATTTGCAGTGAAAAATAAGCATTTCTTATTTTCTCTCAATTGTTGGAAGCCAAACAAAATTGTCGGAGATCAGTTCACTAATGGGTGATTTCGATTTGCATAACATTTGTGTCTTAGCACTTTCAAACTAGTACACTGTGGTTGTTCTCTAC